CAGGATACAAAACTCATTTATTTAAGTAAGATATATCACAGGTATGATCTGAGATGCTCTAGAATAGTTTCAATTTCAGGAAATTTAATTTTTAATAAAGATAATTTATTAAATGTCAAATTTTGATTTAATGTATATGCCTTTATAAGACATTATAAAAGTAAAATCACACACTAAATAAAAGTTATCTATTATAGTCTATGTGTCCTGATATGTAGTTTTGAGATATGACCTCTGTAATTATATGTTCAGCTAGCCCTGGGGAAGCTAGCCTTGGGTGCTATCACATATAATAACACTTTATGAAAACATGAACTTTTAGAATCAAATGTGTCTATAAATTTGGAAACTGTAAGTAATATTGTACTGTGTTATGCAAATCTGTAAAACTCTCTCCTCTTTATTGAACAAACTTAAATTTTTAAACATACTTCAGTTCACTGTGTTAAATGTATAAATTATATAAACAGAACCCAAATTCACTAGACAAAGTGACTATATATAAATATACTTTAACAAAACCAAATTTAGAGTATTTCAAGGAAGAGGCTGGATGATATTTAATCACTCAAATTTCATAGAGAATATCAGAAACTTGATTATATACTGAAGACCAGAGAAAGTCCTTTTAATTAAAAGGCACTGTAAGAAATTACTAAAATGCCTCTAGGTAGATGATATTAAAATAATGATGGTGAAGGGCATTTTGTATTTCATATATTGAATATAAGTACTGATTTTTGAGACACATTAATTTGGAATAAGATCCTACAAAAATGTTGTGAGAAAAAAATGCATGGATTTTGGATCATCTTTTAAGAGAATATGAAAGGCAAACTTAAGGATAACTGCTAAAATTGACATAAATATGGATTATAATGTACTCTATTCTTATCAACCCCAAAATACATTTAACTGAAACCTGATTTTCTTCTTTGTCATGTGGTTCAATGTACCTGGCATACCTGTTGTAGTGGGTTGAATATCCAAAATGATATTATCCACCCAGAAACTGTGAATGTAAACTTTTTTGGAAAAAAGGTTTTTGTAAGTGTAATTAAGGTAAAGATTTTGAGATGAGATCATACTGGATTAGGGAGTCCTAAATCCAATGAATAGTGTTCTTAGGAGAGAAGAGTAGGAGATAGACATCAGGGAGAAGGCCACAGGGAGATAAGAGCCGAAACTGGAGTGATGTGTCTACAGGCCAAGGAATGCCAAGAGTCGCCAGCACCTATCAGGAAACATGAAAAGGATACTCTGGCTGAGCCTTGGAAGAAACTAACCCTGTTGACACCTTAATTTTGGCTTTCTGACCTCTAGAGCTGTGAGAGAATTAAGTTTCTGTTACTTTAAGCTACCAAGCTTGCAGTAATTTGTTATAGCAGTCAAAGGAAACCAATACAGTCTCCAATCACATTTTAAATCAATGTCCATGCATTGCTCCAAAAGCTATATCATCTATTTTCTATCAAACTCTCTTGAATTGTCTCATTAATATTTGGTCATTTGTTACTTTATTTTTTAAAAGCACTATAAACATCACTTTACTTACATGTTGCATCCATTAACGATAACCTAGTTGTAGCTCTAATATAGTTTTTGCCTACTCGGTTATAAGATCTTGAAGGCAAGAACTGTCTATCTTAAATGTCTTTGTTGTCATGCCATTTCATGACATGATATGTTATATACAGTACATGATTAAATAACTTCCTATTTAATGAAATAAAGAATGACTAAAAAACTTTTATTACAAGTTAAATCATCCTTAGGAAAGGCTTAGGATACTAATGGAATCATTTAAAGATCTACATATTTTCCTGCTCTTAAAATAGAAGTCTGGTCTTATCTACATTCCCTTATTCCCTTCTATTTTAAAAGAATAACATTTACTGTCAATGAATTTAAAATCTATACCAGGAATCTAACAATATTCAAGACACAGCAAGAATCACAGAAATTAGAAGGAATACCATAAAACAAAGCCCCACAAAAAACCTCTTTTATAGGTGTGGTCACAAGTAAAAGAAGTTCATTACATTTCATCTATATTGTTTTAGTCCCTTAAGGAATAGTTGTTTAACAATCTTCATAATTACCTGAAAGAAAGGAATGGTATCAAACAAAAAAATCTAAGTATACAACATACCTGAGTTCGTAAAATTTCATTTTTTGACAACTGCATATCACCAGTCAATTCTTTCACAGCGATGCCCAGTGGCTCTAGACGTTTGCTGAAGTAATTTGTCATTTCAGCTGCCAAGGCTTTCATCGGAGCAACATATACAATCTGTACCAAAGAAACACTAGGTTGATGAATGAGCAAAAACTACAACGTCATTTGTTTCACAGTAGTCAATACAAGTCACAATTTCTTGTGAAATATGATTCTAGCCACTGCAAGTGAAAAATCTTCATAGTGATATATGAAAAGTACTTATCTTTGTTGGATAAGTGTGCAGCTGTTTAAAGGACAATGGAATTTGTTTATACAGCCTTATCACTGAGAAAATTGGTTCTGCTTCAAAGCTAAATGTATTTTCATAGCTTTTCACAGAGGTAATGGGATTTTCATAACACAAACAGAGATGACCTTAATAGTAATTAAGTAAATCAAGCAGCATTCTTTATGTGACTTCATGAACAATATCCTAAAAACTTCCAGATTTTATATAACATGTACAACTGCCAAATAACTTTACTTTTACAATTTATAAAGCTGTCATCTGGCTTGTTAATTTCCTACCTTAAACTCATTCTTTTTGATAACACCTTGTTGAAAATGTTGGCGAATTTCATGCAAAACTGTAAGCATTGCAATGTTCGTCTTTCCAGCTCCAGTAGGGGCACAAATCAGCATGTTCTCATTGGTGTTATAGGCAGTCTCAAACACAATTGACTGGATTCTATTCAGTCTTCTCATTCCTTTAAAAGCCAGCTGCCCAATCTAAAAAATAACACGATCCATTATAAATGATATTAATGTGAAGGAGTCATACAAAAATTAAATGCAAACATTTATTTCCCTTGATTAAAAAAAATGACTAATTTTTTCAGTCTCTTGATGCATCCTGTATTTAAACCAATGTGTGTGCAGTTGAGAACAATTCACTACTTCTGAACAATTCTAATGCATTTGGAAATTGCAACTCACTAAATTTGAAAAATACGACAATGGGACTATACCTGTATCTTTGTATAAAACAATGATACATTAATAATGTAAGGAAACTAAATTAAACACAGATACCTTGAGTTCATATGATGATATTCTAGTTTATTTAGATGGAAGACGACTAATGAATGTGCAAACAAGAAACTTTCTCGTGAGATAAATCAATAGGAATTTCTGTTTCAACATCTTATGGATTAAAAATAAACTTTTTGAAAAGTCAGCTATAAAAGCAGGAATATCAGCTACAGATTACATTTATTCACAATTTACACTGCAACATATGCAATTGTAAACACTGATAGAGTCCCCTGTTTTATCATAAGAACAATTCTATGGTATAGGTACTATTATGTCCTTTTGAGAGAGAGAAAAATTAAGACACAGAGAGGCTAAATAATTTATCTTAGAACTGCCTATATAAAAAAGTCTTTAGAGATGAAAACCAATGTCTGAGAGTAAACAGAACACTGGATGGGAATAATGAATGACAAAAAGCTGCAATGATTATATTAACGACAGAAAAAAAAAACTAAAGCCAAGAATATTACCAGGGATATAGATAGTCATTTTATGACATAGTTATCAACTGAAGAATAGGACATAACAGTCCTAAATGCTTATATACCTGCTAACAGATCTTCAATATACATGTAGCAAACACTGATAGACATGCAAAGGGAAATAAACAAATCCACAATTATAATTATATATTTAAACATCCTTCTACAATAGTTCACAGAATAAGTAGGCATGAAAATCAACAAGGCTATTTACTTGAATAGCACTATCAACCATTTGACCTGACTTATATTTATTCATCTAACAATAGTAGAATACAAATTTTCATCAATTGCTCATGGAACACTTATCAAAATATACCATATGCTGAGCCATAAAACAAGTTTCAATAAATTGATAATGAAACAATTCATATAAATTATGTTCTCATCACAATGGAAATTAGAAATCCTTCATTATGGTTAAAAAATATCCAAATATTTGAAACTAAATAACATACTTTCTAAATAACCCAAGGAGGAAAACAGAAATCAAAAGGGAAATTAATAAGTATTCGTAATTGAAGGAAAACAAAAACTAAACACATCAAAATTTGTGAATGCTACTAAAGCAATACTTAGGGGAAAACATATAGCATGAACCATCTATATGAGAACAGAAGAAAGGTTTCAAATCAATGACTTCATCTTCCAAAATAAAATATTAGAAAGGAGAAAAATTAAAATTAAAGTAAGCAGAATTAAGGAAATATTAGAGATCAAAGTGGATATCAATGAAATGAAAACAGAAAAACTTTTTATTTGAGATCAATAAAATTGATTAATCTTTAGGCAGGCTAATTAGGAAAAATTACCAATGTCAAGAATGAGAAAGGATGTATCACTACAGATACTACATATATTAAAAGAACAATAATGAAATGTCATAAACAACTTTATACCAATTAATTTGGCCACTTTGATGAAATGGACAACTTCCTTAAAAGACATAAATTACCAAAGCCCACTCAAGAAGAAATATACAACTGAAATAAACCTATATCTATTTAAAACAATTAAGGCTGAGGCTAAAATTTTTTTCCACAAAAACAACGTCAGGCCTAGATAGCTCCATTGGTAAATTCTAACTAACATTTAAGGAGGAAATAATACCAATTCTAGATGGAGTTTCAGGCTATTCAGAAACATTGGAAAAGAAAGAATACTTGCCAACTCATTCTATGAGGCAAGCAATTCCCTGATACCAAAATCAGACAAAAAATAATTACAGACCAATATCATTCATGAATATAGACGAAAATTATAAACAAAATTTTAGTATATAAAATTTTACAAAAATAATAATATATTTTTACCAAGTGGGGATTACCACAGGAATGCAATGTTGGTTTAACATTAAAAAATCAATGTAATTCACCATAATAACAAACTACAATAAAAAAAACCATGATCATTTCAATAGATACAAGAAAATAATATGACAAAATCCCACATCTATTCCTGATTAAAAATACAAAAAACTCTCAGCAAAGTAGAAATATGGTAGAAAGGAATTCCTAACCTGATAAAGGGTATCTTTAAAAATCCTACATCAGTGGGCTGGCCAAGTGGCTCAGTTGGTTAAGAGCTCGCTCAAGAGTTTGAGCTCTGAGCAACAGCGGTTCTATGCCCTGCCTGAGCTGAGCTGCTGCTGAGCTACCAACAGGTGGCAGGATGGCTCAGCAAAAAAAAAAAAAAAAATCCTACATATCATAACATACCTAATGGCTTAATGGTGAAAGACTGAACGTTTTCCCCTCAAATCAGGAAGAAGACAGAGATGTTATATCTTCCACTTAGCATTGCACTGGAGGTGCTAGTGAATAAAATTTTTTTGAGTTTAAAAATAAAGACATTTATATAGGAAAGGAGGAAGCAAAACTGTCTTAATTTAGAGATGACATAATTTTTTCTGCAAAAAATCTGATGGAATCTACAAAAAACACCTCCTAAAACTAATAAGCAAATTTTAGAAAAGCTAGAGAATACAAGATCAACATAAAAAATTATATTTCCATATGCAAGCAACAAAAAATATAAAAGTAAAGTTTAAGTGTGTTTAATAATCAATTCTAATAGCATTAAGTTATGAAACACTCAGGGAAAAAGATGGAAAACACTTATTATATAGTGAAAACAATACAATTTTGCTAAGAGAAATGAAAGAAAACTTAATATTCTTAAGATGTCAATTCTTCTCAAACTGATGTACAGTCTCAATACAATTCCTATCAAAAGCTCAGCAGGCTTTTCTATAGAAATTGACAAGGTGATTCTAAAATTCATATGGAAACAAATGGGACCTAGAAGAAACCAAGCAACTTTGAAAAACAAGAAGAATGGAAGAGAGCTAAAACTACCTGCTTTCAAGGGTTATTTAAAAATTAGAAACATCAAAACAACATGGTAATGGTATTTTGTTTAAACAAATAAATCAAGGAACAGAATAGATAATCTAGAAATAAACCTTCATGTATACGAACAACTCATTTTTGACAAAGCATAAAAGCAGTGAAGATTTTTAAAAAATAGCATTATGAATAACGCTGAAACAAATGAATATCCACATATAAAAAATAAACTTGGAGCCATAACTCACACCATGTATAAAAACTAAAAACAAACCACTTTATCTAAATATAAAACTTAAAACTATAAAACTTGTAGAAAAAAACATAGGAGAGCCGTCCAATGGCTGGCAACTGACTGCCTCAGCCGGGAAGAGTGCAATGATTGTGACACCAACATGGGCCAGTGAAGCGACATCCTCCACAACTAGACTGAAGAACAAAAGGACAGCAACTTGTCTGTTCCCCTTCCCCGATTCCCCAACGCTGTTCCCCGACCCCAATTTCCCAATAAAATCTTAAAAAAAAAAACCATAGGAGAAATTCTTTGTTGTCTTAAGTTATGCCAAAGTTTATTAAATACACCATAATCCATAAACAAACAAATTGATAAACTTGACTTAAGCAAAATTTAAAACCTATAATCTTCAAGGCATTATTAATAAAATAAAAGAAGCCATGGCATGAAAGGCAATCTTTGTGAAGCATATGTCTGATAAAGAACTTATATCCAGAATATATAAAGAATTCTCCAAATACAACACTAAAAAAAACAAACAATCCAGTTTTTAAAAAGGGGAAAAGATTTGAACAGTTACTTAATCAAAGAAAATATATCTGGGAGGCAATAAGCACACTATAGGATGTTCAACATCATTAGCCATTAAGGAAATTTAAGTTAAAAACTTGCTTATTTAACCTAAAAATTCAATTTTAAAACGTTTATCCAAATTAAGCTAACTAAACAAGAGTGTCAGATAAATAATTAAACAGAAAGATGTTTGCTATAACATCATGTATAATAAAAACAAAACAAAACAAATATAAATTGAGTGTCCATAAATAGAGGACTGCGATAAGTAAATCATGATATATTCTTCATGATTACAGTAGTTAAACAGAATGAGGAAGATATATATGTTTACAGGAAAATGTATCCGAAAGGGAAAAAATATGCCACAGAACAGTAAGAAAACTAATTAAATATAATTTCTTAACACAAAAAAAATAAGGAAAGATATATCAAACTATTCCATTTATTCCACTTTTTACTTTATAAATTTAGATGTTACATTTTAGATATCACTTTTTTTGTTAAACAGATTTTATCATCAGCCCCACAAAAATACTTCTGTTTAGATAAAAATATATATCTTAAGAATAAACAAAATGGAAGGCCTAACTGCATTGTTTTAATGTATTAAAAATAATAATTTGTTGCTTTATAGGTATAAATTCCTAATATTTTTATGTAAATACAAAGTACATGATTCACCCTGTTTTTCATTATGTCATATAAAGAGTACTACATCTTAACCAAACACCAAATTTCCAATTTGTGCTCCCAGTTGAACATGCATGGAAAAATTACTACATTCTATTAATAAAGAGACAAGAAAGTGCATAGCCACTGTTAGTTTCTCTTTACCGAAGAGTCCTGAGTTTTAATGTTCACGATAATAATTCATTTTGAACCAGACAATCTGGGTACAGGAACTTAAGTCTTAGCAACAAAAGACTTCAGGAGAGAAATCTACTATTTAATCTTTGAAGGAGGCGAGATCATAAGATTTTGTGAAAATCAGGTAAGTTAGTAATTTTATAAAGTTAAACTGAGCCAAATTTTATTACATACAAAAAAGCAATA